ATGGTTTATGAGCTGGAATTTGAAGGCAGGGGGAGGGGGAGAGGCACAAGGAGAAAAAGAGTCTAGCAGACAAACAGCATGAATGAACATGGAGCAATGAACGTGCAAGGCTCATCTAAAAAAGATGAGTAATTCTTTTGACAGAGGTAGAGTCTGTATAGCACTGACCACAAGGAAATTTAATCTCTGTACTACATCTATCTCTCAGTGAACCACTGATCAGCCATAACTTGGACATTCTTAATTCAAACCTCTATGGGTTTTTTAAAAAAATTGATGAAAATTTCATGTTAAAAAAACAATGTTGGGTTTAAAAAGAAATTTTAGCACTGTAATAGTTTCATTTAACAAATATTTGAATACCTCAACCCTGCCTGGGGTAGAGGATACATAAAAATGAAGAAAAATATTATTTGAACTATGAACACTGGGTTCTGTTCCTGTATCTGCCATTAGCCAGCTGTTGACCTTGTTTAGCACTGTAATAATTTCATTCAACAAATATTTGAATACCTCTATTCTGCCTGGGATAGAGGAAATATAAAAATGAAGAAGAAATGTTATCTGTAGTACGAACACTAGGTTCTGTTCCTGCATCTGCCATTAGCCAACTGTTGAAAAAGAATCACTCAACTGCTCTGGGTCGGTTTTCTTATCTCTGAAGTGAATAGATTCCATCTATGAGGTTCTATCTATCTCACTTTCCCAATGTATATGTTCATGAAGTCTCTCCAAAACATCAAGGAGAGGAGCAATAATCAGAAATGGCTTCACCAAGACTGATGGGAAATCCCCAGGAATTCTTGACATCCCCCCACATCCGCCCCAACAGCAATGCAGGAAATCTAGTCCACTATCTCCAGCAGACTCAATGGAACCATTTCCTTAATGAAATCCCCCTGCAGTCCCAGATGCTAAGCCAGAGACTTTCCTTTCAAGTCTCCCTCAATTACCCCATTCCTCCCATTTCCTTCCCTTCCCTCAAATCTGGTATAAAATCCAGTAATTTAATCAGCAGCATGCACTTTCCAAGCACCCAAGTGTGTGAGGAACCACTAGTAATCCTGAAAAGCAAGTGGCAGAAGATCTTGTCTTTCCAAACCAGCTCACCAGTATGGTAAGGCCAATGGAACAGAAGGGATTCTTCTGTTCCAGTAAATTGGTTAAACCCAATGCAACAGATGCTTCTAATGCTTCGAACCATTCCTAATAATATATTGTACTTAAAAATATATATATAAGGTTGAGTGTTATTTCAAATGTCCTTTCTCCCCAATCCACAATGACAAAGTACATGCTCTGAAAAATTATAGTAAGCACTTGATATCCAATGAACTCCTGACCCAACTGAACCAAGAACCTGAATAAGCAAGCTTTTCATTTCATACCCAAGTGCCAAGGGAGCTTTCCTCACTTTCTCTCCATTCTTATGCCCACTCACATTCACATCTCATCTTAAAGCAGCACTACAGAAACTACTGCCCTGTTATTTGTTCTTGCTTTGCAGAACTTCCCAAGGCAGGGTAAATACCAGCCATAACTTTGAGGTGGCCTGGATAACCTTCCTCAAAGACATGCTATTTTTTTTGTTAATAGAAAGCTATTTTTTTTTTTTTTGCAACACACGATTTTCAACTTCTATAGTCTATACATTCAAATTAGATTTAAAATGTCTCAATAGTTTTTGGTAAGGAGAACAAAGTGATTATTTGATTTGTTCTAAAAAGTCACATAAAATAGAGGCTTAGTATCCTCATTGAATTCTAAACTTCTTTTAGAATAAAGTGAGCATTAATAATAATAATAATAAAAAGAAATGCATATGGGTTTAAAATGACTGGCATCCTTAGCAGAGTTAATGTAACTAGAGTTATAAAGTAAACTCTACTTTCTAGAGTTACACATTCCTCTAGGAAAAAACAAAAACCCCAAGATAATGATTACGATTGGCTTGGGCACACTCTAACAGCTTATCTCTTGCAACCCACTGGAGACCAAGTTAATTGGTTGGTCAGGTACATTCTGCTAGTGAAAAAGAAAATACAATGTGATTACTGATAACAGGGGAAACCCTGTTCATCCTTCTACCCTTAGCTCTGTCATCGCAGGGTTTACTATCCATCCTATATGCGGATGTAGGTAAAGGGAGGAGAAAAAGACACAGTGTTCAGCCTATTGCTTGGAATCATTTACTGAATTTTAGAGTTGGGAAAGGGTCTTAGAAACAATCGTCTATTGTAACTTCCAAATTTTACATATGAAAACAAAAAAAGACACTTAGACTTCACGAGAAAAGAAACTGGATAGTCTTTTATAGAATTTTCAACAGGGAAAGAAAAACTTCAAATAATAAGAAACAAATAGGGTTAAAATATTCAAGAACTAGAGTAGGTGACTACCTACAGTTCACCTGCAACATGATCCATCAGTTGGAAAACTAAGTGAATTGCCAGAGGTGCTATAAATAATTAATGTTTTCAATATGTAATTCAGAAAAACACAACCAAAAAGGAGTGGCTGCATAAACCTTGGGAAAAACAACAAAAAATGTTATGTAAAATTAACTTTATTATGAGATTTATTACACTCAGTTTGGAAATGGATATTATTTTCATGTACATTTTGATTTAATTTTATGTATTAATGTAGACTTCCCTCACAAAATTCACAAGTGAAGAATTTATAGCTAGTTGCAGCAAACTTTAAATGATAGCTGTTGAAAAACTCAAGAAACATGGGGCCAGAAAAAGGAGTCGTGGTTTTAATCAAGGGTGTGGTGACTTAAAAGTAAGAAAATGAGACTGAGTAGAGTAAAGGAGGACTGGTATCCTTTTTAAGAAAAACACATTGCCATACTGAGGACTTGAAAAATACCTGAATTATTGGCATCTTTTTATTTCCCAGGATATTTGGAAGAAGGTGGAAATACACTCTTGGGGGAAAATGCACTACCTTTTTGTATTATGGAACATCTGGTTATTTTCTCTCTCAAGGCACATGTGCACATCACTCACAAACAGTAATAATAACTGATAAGTATACAAAGGATCTAGAGTACCTGAAGGTGCGCAGACCACGCCCATGATGGGTGCAAGTGGACTCCTGATAAATCCACCCAGCAAAAAACGTGGCCCCTTTCAGGACCCCCTACCCAGAGCTGCAGCCCTTCAGTTTAGGTTGAAGGTCCTGATTTGGTTTAGAAAGCATGCAGCGACTCTTTTGCTTTGAGATGTCTTTTAACCAGAGAAGCCTGTGGTCTGGGAAGGCGGGTTTCACAATTACAAAGCCTAAAGGCTGATAGATCATTCCTTAAACCAGCAGGTAAAGGGGTTCTCGCCCCTTTACATATGTAAATTTTTTTTAAAAAAATCACACAAGAGTTCCAAGACCCTTGCCTCATTTAAGTAAAATAAAATCTAAGACAAATCACAAGAGGATTTTACCAGTTTCTGCAAATCCTCACCAATCTAAGTGGCCCTTAACCACGAAGAGAACTATACCTCACTAGTCAACCACAGTTTTGAAACAAAAATAAAAATATAGCTGTGCGAAGTAGAAAATGCAATCAACATATACTCTTCCTTCCATTTTTTGGACTCAAAATAATTTACCTAGATAGCTTTACATAATAGACGGATGGATTTCAGCAAGTTATTTAGATGCTCTAAGCAATTTTTTCAAAAGACTTTTCAAAACTAAAATAATGTATTTTTGAATTAGAACAGCAATATTTCCATTTCATAGTTATTTTGGCAACTTTTTCCAACTTAACAGCGCGGTTCTCAGACATTAGGACTGCGCCTTGCCTCTTGGGTCCATGGTTTCACCAATCTAATTGGAACTATTGTTTGTTATTTAAAAACTGACGGTCTAATTAGTCTTTCCACTGAAAAAGAATACTTAACTGTTACAGCCTTTGGGGTTCATCAAGCATTTTTTAAAAATAAGCTCAACTTTACTGACTTTACCTGAATCACTGCAGTAGCTTACTTGGTGTTACTGTCTTTTGCCTAGAGGGACTCAACCAAAGGCTTGGCTACTCGGCCCAATGGGCAGAAACGCGACCCAAGCTTTTAAATACCCTCGGGCTTTGACTCCTGGCTGGGTCGCCTTCCACCCAGACAGCGGTGTGCCCTCCTGGCCCCGACAGTTCGGCAGCCAGTTTCCCTAACACCCCACAAAGGGGTGGATCTCACCGATTGCTCACACCGCATCTTCTGGTACAAATCGTCCGCCCTTTCTGCTGTCGGAATTTCAAGGTTAAGCTTGCAATTCCGAAACTTAACGGTATTTGGGTTCTGGATTGCCCTCGTCGGTCAGGTTCACTCAGGTGGCCGACCTGAGCTGATTTGGGCTGGACTGGTGGAAAGCGCCTCACCCGTGTGGCTGTGCGCAGCGCGCTCCGGTCAGGTGGTCGGCGACCGACGGGAGGAGTGGACGCTCGTAGAACATTCGGTGAACAGTCGGGCTTGGGGGCCGCAAGTGGGTTAAAGGATACCAGGCTTTGCCACCCCCTGGGATCTATCTGCTCCCGGCAAGCACACGACCGCCTCCAAGAGGGCTCTCCTCCTTCCCTCTCGAGGCGCGACGTCGCGGCCAGTGCCCAACATCACCAATGTCGGGCTTCATTCAGCTCAGCCCCCGGGCGGCATCGCGGGCGTTCTGGGAGCCGCGGCGCCAGGCTCCAGAGGGTCCCGTGCACCGGCCGCCTGCGAGGTCTGGGTGCGCGGCGCTCCCAGAACCAGGCACAGAGCGTGAGCGACTCGAGTGGCCAAGGGGCATCCCCAGTGCCGTCCAGGGCGCCGATGCCCTCGGGCCCCGCCAGTTGCTCTCCTAGGCGCGCGCCCTGACCGCCCGGCAGAGGAGAAAGGCTCCAAGACCCTAGGCGTGCACAATGAGACTCGGGTCCCAGGTTCCCACCGAGGCTCGCCTCCCCTCGTGCCCCCGACCCCCCCAGGGTGTGACCCTGCCTGCCTATCGCGGCACCGGCTGCGCCTCACCTGTGAGAAGCAGACCGCCGAGCAGCGCGCACAGCAGGACTCCGGTGTCCCAGCGGTTGACCATGGTGAGCGCGACGCGGCCTGCTTGCCTGGTGCCCGCGCTCCTGGCGGGCGACCGACCCAGCCGCCCGAGCTTGACTTCTCCCACTCAGCCGCCGCCGCCGACCCCGCACTCCGGCTCCGCGTCTCGAGCGCCCCTCTCTGCGGCTCCAGTCAGGCAGACAGCCACTTGTCGGGTAATCCTCGCAGCCCAGAGTCCTTGGCCGCTTCGCTCCCGTCCCAGAGTCCGCTCCTAGCCGCCGCCGCCGCCGCCGCCGGGGAAGAGTCGCGAGAAGTGTCTGTCCGGCGCGCTCCAAGCCTCTAGCGGACCTCGTAGAAGAGGAGCCGAGGGCGGGGGCCATTTATAACCTTTCCCCAGCCCACTTCCTACCCCGGCACCTCCTTCCAGTGACGTCAAGGGGTCCCCCACCCCTCATCCGCCTCCCCACCTACCCTCTTCCTCCGGGACCTGATTCCCTACGGCTGCGGAGAGGGGCGGGGGCCGTCCGGCATGCGGGAACGGGGCCGAGCGCGCGCGCGCGTGGGGAGGTGCTGACGGCTTGGCCCAGGAGCACGGCCGGGGCAGGTTCTGGGTCCTCGTTCCCGACCCTGTAGTCCGCGTGCCTACTATCTTCAGCGCTCTGGAAATCTTGGCAGGCTCCTTCCGCCCAGCTTACCCAGCCCAGGGGGCCGCCAGAAGCTGGTAAGGGCACAGGAATAGCGCTCCACCTCCCACCCCCAGGGCGGAAAGTCCGATCCGTGGGAAACTAGCCGCGGTGTCCTTGGCACCAAAGAGTGAAGTGCAGTCTGGCTCCGTCCCCTTCCTTGGTCTTCCCGCCTTGTCCTGCCGCACCTCCACCCCGGAATCCCCTGAAAGTCCCCAGACGTCGAAAGGCGCCGGAAGCCGACAGCACCAGGGACTAGACAGACTAGGGGAACCCGAGAGCACCGGACCCTTGCCTGGCACCTTTGGGAAGACTGTGGACCCGCTCGGGTCCCTAGAAAGTGCAGCGCGCCTGTGTCTTCGGCCGCAGATGCACCCGCCCAAGTCATGTCCTAAGCCGCTTCCTAGGAGCAAAGCAAGAAATAGCATCGAGATACCTTTTCCCAAGCTGAGGCGTGAAACTGCTCCTGCAACGTGTAAGGGCTGGGCACGTGGACTTTATTTCCTAAATACTCAGGGGAAGAAAAAAATCCTAATGGAAGCTAGCTACGCAAGATGGATGCGTAACTCTGGGGCTCTTCGAACAAAACCGGTGAAATTAACTTGAGGCACTGGTTCATTTACAACGGTACTAATTTCACGTTTTTCCTCAGTTTTGCCTCCATTGCCTCAAAGGCTGAAAGCGTCCTAGGCTGCACGGAGCAGTCCAACCTGGTCCCTGTAAATACTGCTGCTTTGGAAAATAGTTCTTTTGGAACCTGCCAGATGGTCCTGATAAAAGGAACTGTGATGGCTCCTCAACGGGGCCAGCGACACCTCCTGAAGGACTGGACTACCACCCCGCTTGGGAAAGTTGGGCAACCCGGACTTGCCACGCCTCTGGGCGGTGGAGCTAGGGCAGGTCTCTGCCACCAGCCGACCAACGCAGGAAAAGCTTGTCGGAGCACCTGGCGCCGGGGCTACTGAGCCGCAGTTCCTCTTGGTTCAAAAGGAAGCACGAGAGCGCGCAGCCGTTGCTCCTCCGCGGGTTTCACCGTCCTTTTCCATTTTCCCAGGGCTCCTCAGCACATTCCCCCAAGCCTGATTCCTCCCAAAACCACAGGGTCATTCAGTGAACAGTTAGTAAACACGGATCGCTGGGCTAGAAGCTGACAGCGATTCTTCTCGCCACTGGCCCCCCAGCCCAGGTCACAGTCACACCCGGAGAGCCGAACTTTAGAGCTGTTTGTCATTTTCTGCTTTCTCCCAAAGACAGGCCGTCAGCATTGCCCTTCTGCCCCTTCACAGGAGCCGGGCATTGTGTTAGAGCCAAAAACACTGTGATGGGAAGGTCTCATTTCTGCTTCCTAAGAAGTTTAGAATCATGCAAAGAGGCCAGGACCACACCGCGCTCGAAGATCACAAGCCTGGGCTGGCATGGGTTTACCTTGGGCACAGAGAAGAGGTGGTCTGTCCCTGGGACTCAGGAGAAACACTTAGCCGACTCTGGGGGAAAGTGGTCCATAGTATGATCTACCAAAGTTTAATACAACTTTTCAAATGCGATTTTATTTTATTTTTTTTTAGGCATACAGGGAGACAACACTCCAAATACCTGCTGTCAGAAGTGAATCTGCACGGACTTCATATATATATTTTAATCATGTTTATTCTATTACAGCTGTCTCAATTTCTCCCCTTTGCCCCCCTCCACCCATCCCTCCCCACCCCCCCACTCCCACAGTCAATTCTCACTCTGTTGTCCATGTCCATGGGTCATTCATACATGTTCTTTGTAAAGCCAGGACAGTTGAAATAGCCTTCCTAATCTAAGATGTCAGTTGGTCAGCAATGCTAATATATTGCTTACTTATTTCAAGTTAAGAGTCATGGTTGAATCTCACTTTATTTACACCCAAATCATTCTCTACTGAGCGGTCTTACACAAACTCCCCAGCTATTCTTTGGAAAAGTTGCAGGCTTTTAATGATATCCAGCAATTTCCTTACTCTTTCTTCTTTTGTTAGTCATATTAGCTTCCTCACAAAGAACTCAAGATGCTACAAGTTGTCACAAAGCTTTGTTCATGATTTCATTTTAGCTTAGATGAATTTTAGCATTGAGATAAATGAATATCTAAGCTAAAATCATCAGAAATAAAGGTATGGCTCTCTGCTCTTCCCCCAAAGAGAGGTAATATTTGAATGAGAATGGGCTACAGTGTTCCCCAACTAAATCACTAAGGAAGAGGTTTTATAGACAATAGTGATGGAAAAGATCAATTACAACATGGCTAGTGGGTATAAAAAGCGATTGAAGTAGACTATCTGCTTACTTCCTGCTCAAATACAAAAGAACATTTCATCTCCTGCAAAACCAGACACTCTCTCTTGTTATCAGGTATAAACATTCTATTGAGGATTCTTTCTACTCCCCATTCAGAGGTGCACCAACAGCTTTAGTGTATAAGACTGAAAAACAGTGAGAATGCATCAGGGTGGGAGGCAGGAGGAAACCTAGACCCTCATCTTCGTGCTGCCAACCCAGGGTGGAACGGGCTCAGTTTGCAGTTGCTGCGGCTCTGTCAGGAATCTCATCCACACATGGGCTAGGTAGCTTCAGACCAAAGGAAAAAAATACATTCTGTGGATACACATTACACAGCATAAATATGTACAGTTGGCTACAAGAACCAAATGATCTCATAAAACCCTGCCTTGTTGTGAAAAAACACCTCACAGTACATATCTACTTGACAGTTCAGGCTCCTTGGTCTAAGCGGCACATACTCACGAACCTCAGGTTGCTGGTTCTGCTGATGGAGTTTCTTAGGGGCCATCTCCTTTCCGCTCCACAAGCTCCACTCTGTTTCAGATTACCTGCTCCTCACATAGGTTAGTGTTGCTGCTACTTATCTCATTTTGATTTATGCAGGGTTTCAGCTTCTTTTTGAGCCTGTGTGTCCCAGCGCTGGACTCCTAGTTAGCCCTGTATCTCCTGATACTCCCCAGGGCCTGTGACATAGTTATAATACTTTGCTTACTGCAACCTAAGCTCAAAGGGGCCTTTTCTGTTGGCTACTTCATTCTCTGCACTCTTAAGAGAACTTACTCTGGGTTAACACCCCTGAGGCATTTTCACAAGGGCTGTGATCTGGCTATGCTTGTACAGCCCTAGCTTTGACAATTCAAACTGCAGACCCTTTTACACACTCTTATTTAACTTCTTGTTTGACTTAGTCCATCTGGCTGGTGTGTCGATATCTTTCTGCTCTCCAGTTCTGCCATTCAGTGCATTTCCTGTATCTGCCGCTTCAAGTCATCGACGAACAGGATCAGTGTGCCTTCTGGATCATCACCAAAATCCTTAGTGAGGACAGAGCTGAGTGAATAATGGAATGAATGAATGGACTTGAAGCGGTTGAATAAACCAAAGTATTTGTGTCCTTATCTCTAGATGTATGTTCATCAAGGGAGGCCGCATGTTAACTTGTTAAGGATTGTCATTATTTAGGAATAACTGATGCTCTGAGCAAGAGGTAATAATACAGGTAAGTTTTATTCAAGTTATCCAAGGAAAGTTTTTAAAAAGTCCAGAATTAAATCATTAGAGAAGATTGGGGAAGGAGAAAGGCAAAACAGAGGAGGGACTAATACCTAAAGGAAAAGCAGTTGGCTAGGGAAATATGTGTATGGGTTACCTAATCATTATAATTAACAATTTTGCCAAAGGTTAATTTTATCTTAGCATATAACTATTAGCTATTCACTTTTTCTTTTATTTAAAAATATATTATTTTCAATATACTCTTTTAATTAGAAAACATTGAGACAGATAAAAAGGGAGATGGCTGGAGGATGAGCCATTGAATCATTTGATAGAATTGCCATGGCCACTTTGGTATATTTCATGTGAGTCTTTTTCACACAGAATGCTCTTATTTTTTCCATGTTTCTACATAGCTTTCATAATTATTATAGTTAATGGCTGCAAAATATTATCCTTGGCTGGACATTTCAATTTTATCATTATAAATAATTCCAAAATAAATTTAATTTGGTACTGGAAGGTTTTTAGTCAGTTAGGTACACACACTTACACACACTACCCATTCCTCTCCTCCCTCCAAGCTCCTTTTGTCCATACACACATGTACGCACAAATATGCACAACAATGTTCTTGTTTCACTTGAAACATGTACCTGTTTTGTCGAACAGTGACCTGGCTGAACAATCAGAAGGGAAAGATTCTTGTCATGGTGAACAACCCAGGAAATGTACTCTTTCTTTCAGTTAATATTTTTATGCACATATCCCTTACACAATCATGTGCCAGTCTTGTTGAAAATTTTACATGAAAGACATAATTATTGTCCTTAGAAGTCCTTCCAGTTTATTTGAGATGCCCAGGCCTACATAAAATCTTGGGAAACAATTCTACTGCAATTAAAAGCAAGAACAAGATACAGTTGAGAGTACTGGAATTATTAATTCCTAAACTGAGAAGTGATTTTGAGGGTAGTAACAGATTAGTATCAGCAGAGAGGAAAGGGCAGTCTGAAAAGAAGGCAAAAGTAGTAAAACCAGTGGGGAGGCAGGGAGTGTGTGAGTTGGGGCCAGTAGAGGAGGTAGGTGACAGGAAACAAGAAGGTTAAGTTCAAATAGACAAGGGTGAGGGCCCTTGATGACTTGGTAGATAAAGTTAATGTGCTTAATCCTGCTAGTACTAGGAAGGGATGGTTTAAGATGGCTAGAGTAGCATATGAGGTATTGAAGAGGAGTGAGACTGAAAGGAAAGCAATAAATCATTAATTAAATCTATGAAGGAACAAACT